GTGGCGGTGCGTGGCGGGGCCGCTGCCCCGAGCCGTGCCTCCCTGCCGGCGGCCCGGCTGTGGGCGCCGGGGGCTGTCAGGCTGTGCGGTGCTTTTCTGAGGGGAGGGGGCCCTTTGCCTGCTCGAGATGAAGTGGGGCTTGGCGGGGTCACTGTTTTTGAAGGTGGAAAGCCCTTGTGATCACTTTGAGAGAGCGTTGAGCTTTATCCTTTCTCAGTTTTTTCTCTCTCTTGGGGGTTTCTGTCCAACTCACAATTTATGCTCCTAAAGATAGAAGTGGTTCGGTTGTTTCCTCAGGTAAAATGCTAGTAGCCGTTGCTGGTGCTTAATCATATGTGTCCAGAATAGTCTTGTTAAAATCAATGGCGCCTTTAGCAAAGTGAAGTAGTCTTTGCAAGATTGCATTCTGTGTTGGTATGTAAAATACAAAACCTCATTTCTGTTTGAATTTTAGGGCTGCATACAGTAAGAAGAAAATTGCTAGAAAACATGAGCACTTTGGGCTGAGTTATGTGGAAGAGCTGAATATGATTAAGGAACATGAGACTATATGCGGGGAATCTCAGTGGGATAGTCTGAAGATCAAACAAGCGATAGTTACCACTCCTAGAAGTGTGAGCATTTAGCCCTTATTGGAAGATTTAACACCAGATCAATTGCATCAGTTAAGACCGTTATCCTCTCCAGAGGTCATAGAGTCCACATAAGCCTGTCATGAATATAAATAAAAATATTCCTAATTGATTCATTGGGTGTTCTGAAGTTCACAGAAAGTAAGGATATCTTCTGAAGTGAGAGACATGAAAAAACAAACTCCCGATCTCAGGGTAATGACTCAAAGAAATAAATCTGTGGAAGAAGACAGTGCTGACAAAAACCAGAGAAGTTGGCCTGAAAAAGTTAAAGAAAATGCCACTTGTAGTCATGAAAGTACGGTTGTAAAACTGTCAGTAATAGCATAATTTGCAGGTACCACTAAAAAAAATGTAATGGTCAAGCAGCCAGCACCACCTCAGTTACTGCAGGTCTAATTTTCATGTTCATAGCTCCCCCATCTCATTAGTAAAGACAAAAGCTGTTAGTAAAGGATAGAATGCATATGCTACAGATGGATCCCCAGAATTCAAAAAGGTATAAAACTGAAGAAACCGATACTGTGATTAAAGATAGTGATGAATTTAGCTCTTCAGATTTTGATACAAGTAAAAGCACTTCAAGAAAGGGAAAAATAACAAGGGAAATCTGTAAGAAGAGAAGCAGAGTGATTTCAAAAGCAAAACAAAATTTAGATGTTGAATTGGGAAGAGTGCTGAGAAAAGGAAGCAAGCAGCCAAGTGTGAGGTCTGCTCAGGAACAGTTGGAAGAGGCAAGAGATGTGACTAGACTAGACACTTCAAAAATATACGAGAACTTCCTGCAGAGCAAACCTGAAGAGCCTACTTCTATACCAGCATTGCCTGTGAAAGTGGTTGCGAGGTCTATTGATGAAATAATTGCTTCCCTGCAGTCTACTTCTCCATCTCCCTCAGACCAGATGATCAAAGAACTCCTGGAGAGTGTTCTTGGACAGAACTACAACATAAAAATGGAAGTAGGTGAACCAGAACAAGAGCAATATTTTTCTCTTGGGTAAATATTACTTATAAAAGAGTTGTATATTTTTTTCCCAGCTCCTACAATGTGTTACAATGCAGAAGCCAGACAAAACAAATGGATAAAGACACTAATGTATCATAGAATATTCTTCACTCTTTCTTCTGCAAGTTTTTTTGATGTTCCTTAAAACTGCAAATGAGCAAATATCAAAATCTATTAAAACATAACTCTTTTGGGGTGTTATTTTTATTATACTGCTTATAGTTTAAGACATACTTTTCTTTATTCTCCTTTCCTTTTTTTAAATAAAGATGATATATTACAGTCCGACAGATGAAAAATTGCATTAAATGCATTTGGAATATTGTTGGAAGTATTGCTTCTTTTAGTTATTGTTTATCTTGTGAAGTCTTAATAGGACAAATTCTTTATTGTCACAGTTAGGTAGATTGTGTAAACAGCTGTAAGACAGTTCCTGCAATTAATTACAGCAGGACATATCAGTAATACTATGAATCAGGTAGATGCTACAGAAAACTTGCCTAGATTTTCCCCAGAGGGTTGCTGGTTAATTTAAGTAGATGAGTAATTTTTTTATTAAATGGCTCTTTGTCCTCTCTTAGCAAGACCGATAGTTTTGTTCTAGCTCCAAGGGGGCTGAAACTTATGTCACAAAAATCACTATCACACTTGGTATTCATGCCAGGGAATGAATAGACCTATGGAGGGTGAACTTCTCCTTTTCAGGAGCAACTGCCTCTACAAGGAAGTATGGAAGACTGACAAAAAGGATATGAACCTGTGTTTTAGGAGATTATAATGAAAATTTTTTCACAGAGCTACCAAAATGCTACCTGTTATGACCATAGATTATGTCTCATCAAATGTAAATGTAGAACCTTACATTCCCTTAATGTGAGATTGCCTTTTGATTACATACAAAAATTAGAAGAAAAAAGAATCCTGAACAGTGTTAATTTAAATGTGTAAGTCCATGAGCAGCAATAGTCTGAAAATGCATTTTCAGTAGATTTATGTCCTCTGATTTGATTTTCTTCTGAGAGCTATTTGTGTGTTTGAAGCATTCACAGTGTCTCCCACTCTAAATTTTCTGGTGTATTTCAATTGGGATTGAAAACAGAGAAGACTTTCCTCAGTGTAGCAGCATTGAGATGATCCCTCTCCATTGCTTGACTTGTATTTCAGGAAGGTAATAATTTGGGACTGTTCTCTTTGTGTGGTTGAAATTTGCCGGTTGATTACAAAAATACTTCAGGCAGATGGGAAGAGGGCTAGAGAAGATCCTGGACCTGGGAAACCGTTTCTTGTTCAACCTTCCAGAACTAATTATTGGTGGTCAGTAACGTGTATGGTTTTTCTTACTCTTTTATAAACATGTCTCATGTTCTAGGTAATATTTTAAAAGTTTGGCCTCTCGCAAGTCCTGATTTTCTAAAATTGAAGAGAACTAATTTTCTGTTGTTTGTAGCGGGAGCTGCTGGGCTCTGAGCTTTGAAATCTGACCTCTCGAGCACTGTGATGTTTAATTCTTCTAAAATTTATATCGATCAGGTTCAAAGTAAAGTGAAAACTTGAACTTGGTGGAGACTTACTGGTCCAGTTGTTTGTTGTTTAATATTTTTTTTAGGTATGGGCATTAGTGAGGATGAATGAGACCCTTACTGATTACATATATATATATATATATATATATATATATATTTTTTTTTTTTTTAAATCAAAGGCACTTGCAGCAGGTGTCTTGTAAATTTAAGTGACCTTATGAATAGGATGAAGACTCTAGCAATTTTTTATTATTATAGTGCATGATTTATTTACTTTACACTGAGCTTCAAGGCTTGTCTTCTCTAATGAAGTAAGAAATGTATAATTTTAAATGAAATAGAAATACCTAGGAAAAGAACAGAACTACTAAAATGAAAAGAGGCTCTCAGAATTAAATGTATCTTTCATTTCTTACAAAAAAAATTATTCTGTTCTCTTTATCTTGATCTTGCATTAATGACTGGTTAGCATTGATAGCTTATGATATTGCTGTGGGGGCTGAGAGCTGTTTTTACCCCTGCATCAGAAAGCATTATCTGAGGAATGGAATGCCAGCTCGGTGGGACATTAGTACTTAGCCCTGTTTCTTCTGAGGGAAATCAGTTATGAATAATGATTCCTATCACATTTTCCGTTAAAAAGTAGAATTGTTATTATAAGAATAATATAATTTCCAATGCCTGGAGTAATTTTGTTGCTGTGTGGCTTGTTGCTACCCCTGAAGTATATTGAGTTATTAAGTTATATGTTGGATTTAGTATCCATAGGAGGGTGTTTATATTCATTTCAGAAATGCATTTTCTTGGTATTCAGCTTGATGTTCAGCTTTCTTGGTGATGAACCTGCAGCTCATCTTTAGTTAGTTACTGTTTTCAGCAGATCAGTTCTTTGATACCTCAGATGAGCTTGTGAGGGTGGTAACTAAATGAACAAGATTTTTGCTCTTGAAAAATAACATAAAATTTGAATGCTTCTATTAAACAAGGACTATACAGTGCATCATATTAGCAGCAAATCAACATAAAATATAATTTAGTTTTAAAAAAAATATCTCTACCTCTTGCCAGCTAATCTTAATAGTTTGGCCTTGAGAAGATTTTCTCTGTAATGCATTAATAACTCTTTCAAAAGTGGTTTGATGGAGACTAATTATTGTTAAAATTCAAGAAAATATAGATGTTTGCTTTATATTTATAATCAAGTACAAACAAGTATTTGCTTATAACTTTACAATATCTCATTTATTATTTGCTCTATATGTTCTTTATATTTCAGCTGACATGAAAATTATGCAACAGATCATATACTGCTTTCTGATAAAGCAGTATTTTAAGAGGCTTATTGAATATATTTAATTATTTTTCCCGTTAGGTGCTATAATGTGTATTCTAAGTGTCATGGAAATGAGCAAGGGACTTCAATTTATTTAATTTAGTTCTCTTTAAGTGGGGAAAACCCTAACTCTTCCTATTGGTTTTCTTCTTTTCTGCTTACAGGTGGTTCATGGAATGTTCTCATGGTTTTAGCATTGTTAAAATGTAGCTAAATCAAGACCATGGTGCTTTACTTGGTGAAGGGAGCCACTCAGTCTTCAGGAGTGAACACTGCCACTCCTGGGTACATGAAATTTTTTTTTTTCTGGAACAGTTAACTCATATTACTTTAGATTTTTTTTTTTTCTAATGTTTTATTTTCATGATGTGGCAAGAAACTGCCTACGGAGAGATGTTAGGTAGGTAGGTGGTTTACATCCATGGACTTCTGAGATATTTTTATTTCTTCAAAGTTACAAGTGCAAGTAACTAATTAAAAACAATCCAATTGTGCAGTTTATTACATTTTATGAACAATCACTTTCCAGTTCATTATGATCATTTATACTTGTCTTAAAATGCTACAGGCTTTATGGGGCAAGGACTGTCTTTTTACACTGAAGTCTAACAAAATTGGAGACTAATCCTTATTAGGTCAGTAAACTGCTGTTATGAGAACAAATTGATTTTAATCAGGTAGATTGTAATCTCCCAGAGTTTTAAGCTTTGTCAAAGGTGTACAGGGTGATTAGCTGTTTGTGTATAAATAATTTGCATAAAACCACTATATTGAAATAATACTTTAAAATATTTGTGTGTTCACACATCTAATTTGTCTTTGTTTTGTCATTTATCAGGGTCTTTTCTGCTCTGCTGGTAGAGACTTTTCTATCAAAACAGAGAGGAATATAGTTTATTTTAAACAGCATGTAATTATTAAATGAGGAATCAAAGAACTACCAGATGAAAATATTTCAGTAAGATAAATTTAGAGGTAATTATTAACCACCCACCCACCCAC